CAAGGCCGTGAGAAGCTGGGTTCTGAGAGCAGGCAGGACACGGGACTGCCAGGCCCGTCACACCGTTAGCCATGTGAGCGCTCCCAGAGGTCCTTCTCAGCATTCTGCTGACTTCAGGTAAAACGTACTCAGGACTCTGGTGACCTGAATGCACAATCCGCGACGTGGTGCCAAGGTTGGGACTTTCAGGCCAGGAATGCAGAGGGGCTTGGGCACTGAGGGCTGAGCTTGAGTACAGGTGGACCAGCATCTTAAGATATTTCTTGTGTTGTTGTTGTTTTGTTGTTCAGAGAGAGAGAGGAAGGAGAGAGAGATAGAAACATCTATGTGAGAGAGATACATTGATTGGCTGCCTCCTGCACGCCTCCTACTGGGGATCAAGCCTGCAACCTGGGCATGTGTCCTGACCGGGAATGGAACAGGGACTTCTCAGTCCATGGGACAACGTTCAATCCACTGAGCCACATCAGCTGGACTTAGTATTTCTTAAATCACCCCTGGACTGTCTCTGTTGGCCACCCCTAGGCCCTACAGTTCAGACAGAAAATTGAAACGAGAAATGTGGAGGAACATCAGATTTTTTTTTTTTTTAATCTAGCTGTGTACGACGATAGAATTGTAGCCTTGCTAAAATAAAAATCAGTTTTTGGATGGCTGGGTCACAGGCTTTGTGCTTTGCCTTCTCTTCTTCCATCTTTTCTTTAATAAAATGTTGATTCTTAAGGAGAATGAACATATTTTCTTTTTTTTAAAACATCTATTTGATCACCGAAGTTTGTATTTTCTTGTATAATGGGAAATAAAATAATCTTTATTTAAAAAAGAGAAGTATTTCACATTTGTTATCTTATTTGTTTACTTATTTATTTTTTAATCCTCACCCGAGGATATTTTTCTATTTATCTTCAAATAGAGTGGGAGGGAGAGAGAGAGAAAAGGATAGAGAGGGAAACATTGATGTGTGAAGGACACATCAACTGGCTGCCTCCTGCACGACCCTGACCAGGGCCGGGGACAAACCACAACCGAGGTACGTGCCCTTGGCTGGAATCAAACCCGAGACTCACTGGTCCGCGGGCCGATGCTCTGCCGCTGAGCCAAACCAGCCAGGGCTCACATTTGTCGTTTTAAACAGCACAGGAAATCCCCACCTCAAATAAAAAGTCTGATGATCCCTTCGGTAATATTTGAAAATAAACCAACTTTATTTGAATCAGTCAATACGAATCAAAACTGGGAAACAAATTTATAACTGGTTCAGATGAGGAAAACACTCAGCAACATCTTCATTGAAAGGCATTTTACAGTCATTAAGTCTGGAAAACAAGGCTTGTTACCACCACAGTTAAAAAATGTCTTGAGAAAAATCAAGTAACCATCATTTGGAGGGTCTTTATAAAACGAGACGTTTGTTCTTTCCTAAAAGCCAGGCATCTTTTGCTAAATTAATGAACTCTCTAGCTTATAAAATGGGGAAGTAAGACAAATTCAAACATCAGTTGGATATTTTGTGTTTTAAATATATGCATAGTCAATATTGTGAAATCTCTAGCTATACAAAATATACCTCAGATAACTGGATCCTTAAAACTATGTTTTGCCATACAATAGATTGCTTTCGCAGACACACAGATGAGCCCAAACCCTCTCGTGAGGTCATCTTTTCTTTTATGTGTGGTTGGGGAGGGAAGGATCAGATCTATTTTCTTAAGTAACATTAAATAAAATTATGCATACTCGAATCATACCTAATTATGCAATGAAAGTGCCCTGACACCAAGCTGGGAGGAGAACACTGACCAAGGGAGAGATGTGTGTTCATGAGGCAGCATGTTTGGTTTGAGTGCTGACGAGCAAGGAACAGAAGACAATAGGCCTTGTGTGCAGAGAGGGCCCACGGCCAGGGATGTGAGCCGGTCCGTTCTCCTCACATCACCACCAGGATGCTTTCCGTGCACGCTTCTCTCTCGAGTGCTGAAGATTCTCTTTAAGGTCATATACAAAAATAAGGAAGTGATCCCTTGGGACCTGTGGACTTCATTGTAGCTGTAAGTGAATGCTTCACCTTTCCCAGGAGGGAGACGCCGTCATCTGGATCCACTCTGCTACTGAATGGCCCCGGGCCAGTGGGAAAGGGGCTGAGACACACCAGCCCCTCCTGGCTATCGGCTGCCTCTGGGCCAATTGAATTTGAGATACAGATGCCCACTGGAAAATCTCCTATTAGATAGACCTGCATCTTTCTCACTCCGCATCCCTTTTAATTGTACTTTTCCAGACCTTGCGGATTCCGGGGACTCTGAGAGCTTCAGAGGCTGTTCTGGACGTGATGCTTTTTGTGACAATTCTACAGTGCAAAGTGGCCCACAGGCACAGGTGTGGTGAAGAGCTTCTGTTGCTTCATTTGACAAAGACTAGAAAACATGTTTTTTTCTAATGAAAACTCAAGATCCTCACTGGCCCCCCAGCGGGAGACGTGAACACGGAGGACAGTGCCATTGCCCGGGGAGCTGAAACCACACCGGTCCTGTGGCCAAAGAAACTGATGGAGTGTTTTTTAAGTTCCAATGCATTCGTTTCGTGCTGGGTAGCTACACCCCAACATTTTTTTTTTATCCTCTCGAGGACATTTTTCCATTTTTTGTTCAGATAGAGTGGGAGGGAGAAAGAGGAAGAGAGAGCGAGGGAGAAACATCCACGTGAAACGGACACATCGAGTGGCCGCCTCCCGCATGACCCAACCAGGGCCGGGGACAAACTGCAACCGAGGCACGTGCCCTTAGCGGGAACTGAACCTGGATCTCTCTGGACCGCAGGCCGACGCTCTAACCACTGAGCCAAACCAGCCAGGGCGCTACACCCCCAACATTTAAAACAAGATCCTCATCTTGAGGCCTGTGATTCGGAATTGTCAGGCATTTATTTGACTTCCTTTGTCAAGAGATGCAGGCAAACAATAGAAGGGACTGTGCTCTGGATGGATCGAGATTTTTCTTATCTGGCTCGTCTTTTAGAGTTCTTAAAATCTCATCCAATAACTTCACTGTGGGCCACGCTGAGAGGTAGGCAGCGCTAAGTGGACGGGTAAATTCAACACAATGTTCAGGGTTTGACTCCTGTTTCTGCCTCTGCCTCCCACTAGGCCCCTACCCCACAAAAACTGTGAACACAGGAGTGAAACAAATGAAACACCAAACAGGACTGCCACCCACATGAATCCCCTTTCTGGGCCACTGAAATGTTTTCTGAGGGATCAGGGTCCATTCAAGACTCATGACGAGGGTTACCTCCTGTCTTACAACTCTGGAGGGTGGGGTCAAACTGCAGACCTGCGAGGTGCCTGACTTGGTTCTGGGACATCTAAGAACCTACCACACCGGTACTGGGAGGTGATTTGCTGTGTATATGACAAGGTTATGGCGAAAGCCCCAGGAGGCTGAAGAATCTAAAGAAAAATCTCATTTGAAAAAAGAAAATAATCAGAAGACAATATTATTATTACTTTAAAATACTCTGATAAATCTGGTCATAAGACCTTAAATCTCTAAGTCAATATTTGCATTATATAATAATCTATTGTTGAAATAAAAAGATATTTCTGAATTAAGTGCCCTTCCATCTCTGACTCCTCTTTTTTAAATGGTTATAATTAATTATATAACTGCCCCCTCCAGTGCCTATTAATGTTGTTATGTATGTGAAATGAAGTCAACCACAGAAGGAACATCTAGAAACAACAATATTGATTTGGTTTGGCTTGTTTGTTTTTAAAAACTGCTTTTAAAGTCTCGCCAGTCGGTGGAATTCTGAACATCAGGGTTGTTGGGTGTATCGGCTCGCCGGGGAGCTGGGCCACCGGGCTCCTGTTTTCTTCTCAGGTCGGGGAAAGATCTCCCTGGACAACAGACTGTCACACTAATTAAAAGGCCTTTGGGATCATTCAAGCGTTCATCCCCTCTGAGGCCAGTAAGGGGCTGTTCCTTATGGTCAGAGGACTATTTCCTCACCATTTCTCCTTGTTAAACCACTGGGGGCGGGGCGGGGGGGGCAAGTTTCCAGGGAGCTGTGGAAAGGATCCTTTAGAGGTGGAAATGAATCGACTCATTCTGCTTTTTCAAAACTCTCAGGCTTATAAAATGTCCTACTGAGAAATTTCCTCTTCTTCAGTGGGGCCGAAGGAGACCCCTGCTTCCTCCCCTCCGCTCTGATCAACGGGGTCACGGTTTTCTTCAGAGGTCCCCGGAGGCAGTAGGTCTTGGGAGTGCTTGGTTAAGTTTGTTGATGTTTCTAGGGAAGGGACCCATGCTGTCTGCCCTCCCTGAGCAATGACCAAGTCCTGGGGCTTTCCTGCTGGGAACCGCTCTCCACGACAGGCAGCACAGAAGGGGGGATTGTGAGGGTGAGGGTGGGTGGTGGGTGGGTGTTCTCACAGGCGTTCCCTGGGAGAGGGAGCTGGTGATCAGTCCATTGCTTAGTCTCCTCTGCACTGGTCCCCATGCTCAAGCAGGGTAAGATGTTAAAGAGGTGGCACTCAAGAACGACCAAGGAGAGCAGTATTGTCTAACAACAAAAAAAGATTCCTCTTTTTCATCTGGTAGTTGAGTCATTAACCAGATGGGCATACATATTTTTTTCAAGTTCAACCCGCATGGTTTCCCAGTCAGAGAGGCTCAAGGACTTTCCTAAGGCTCCAGATGATGCCACCTCCTCAACATGACTCTCACCCCAGGTCACTGCGGTCGGATCAGCCCAGAGCACTGAGACCACCCACGTAGCAGGTCAGGCCCAGGGACAATGTGAAGAGCCTGCAAAGTCATTTTTGGCCAATTCTTGGGTTTCTGCTGTAAGGTTGGTAGTTACATGACATCACCAGTTCAACACTTAGTTAGATTATGAGAGAGAAGACCTGTCTTCAAAATTTCCAGGGAACACTGAGCATCATTAAGAACTTTTTCATCATCACCCTCCCTCCCTCCCTCCCTCCCTCCGCCTCCCACACTCATCTTCATCTGCTTTCTCACAGACCAAGATTCACCCGTGGAGAAACATAGTCCAAGCCAGGCATGTAACCTGCAACAAAGCAACTACCCCCAAGCAAGCAACCCCCATGGCTGGTAGACCCCCGTGGGCCCTTTGGCATCAACACTGCTTGCCTCCCCTCCCCCCTCCCCAGTCTGGAAGTGCATGCAGTTTCCCTTGCTGGCGAGACCTGGGCAGCCTAACCTCCGAGGGCCGAGGGCCGTGTCAGCCAGGGGCGCGGCGGCACGCTGACACCGGGTCTGGCGTGGTTTCCCATCTGGCCTTCAGCGCCCCGCGTGACAGGAGTGGCAGAAAGTGGCGAGGGACTCAGGTACGTCTCAGATGCCAAGCCTGCTCGGCCCCTCTCCATTCTCTCTGAAAGAGAGCGGGGGATCTCTGTCGCATAAGAACTAGGATGGCATTTGTCCTTGGCCTTGAGGTTACTGACAAAGAGGAGGGGAGGAGGACAGCAGCCGTGCGTGTTCCTAATGCACGGGGGAGATGCTCTGATATTGGCAGCAGGGGCCAGTGACAATCCCCTTGGCGGGGTCTGCAACACTGACCCCGATTACACTGGGCCCAGACGGGCCCAAAGGCGGAGGGCTGGACTGCGTGTAGCATTTCTGCTTGCAGAGTCCTGTGTGATGGGTGACGGGCGGGGTTGGCGGAGGTGCTGATGCCGCCAGCCGGCGTGGCCAGGCCAGGGGGGCGTGCGCGGCGCTGTGGAAGGGGGTCCCGAGGCTGGAGTCCTGGGAGCGGGCCCTGCGGGCGGCGGGCGGCGCTCAGGACCGGCTGAGGCGCTTGGCCACGTCTGCGTAGGCCAGCTCTATCTCCGAGTCCGCGGCGCAGGTGTTGGTGAACTCGTCCCGGGCGTAGGCGTTCTTGAGGTACCGCCACAGGCCCGTCATCTCGGCCGGGAAGTCGTAGTTGCGGTATTTCTTGGCCACGATCTGCAACGGAGATGGCGGGACAGAGGGTGTGAGAGCAGGAAACCCATCACTGAGAGGGTGTTAGTGGTGCAGCCCAGTGTGCGCGCCCAGAAACCCTCCCTGCATCACAGGTGGCCGGCAGCCACGTGTTAGGATGCAGGGGGGGGGGGGGCCTGGGGAAACCCTATGACGACTGGAAGTCTGTGTACCAATGTGTTACCAGTGGTTGTGTCTGACAGAATTATAGTCCAGTATTTTTCTACTTTCCCGTATCCATTTTGTTTTACATAAGCATCCTTGTTTATAGAAGGGAATAAAAACGTTAAAAGTAAATTGGATGTTGGAATATATATATCCAGGCTCAGGGTCCGATGTGGGAGTGAACAGTGATTTCTCTTCTCTCCCTCGTTCACCACACTGGGGGCAGTGGACTGGGGCATTCTGGGAGGTGGTGTTTGTGTGCAGAGAAGCAGTAGCATAGTGGTTAAAAGCATGGGCTCTGCATCCCAACTGACTGGATCTGCAACCCTGACTCCACTACTTTACAGCTGTGTGACCTTGGACTAGTTGCTTAACCTCTCTGAGCCCCAATTTCTTTATCTCTAAAATGGAGGTAATAATAGGACCAACTTTGGGGTAATAAATTCACACACACAAGTGCTTGCAGGGATGGCTGACTCAGACTCAGTGCTCAAGAAACATTACCTACTATAATTCACCGAGACCCACCTTTTACCCATTTGCATGTGTTCCTTCATAGATCGGGGCAGGGAAATCTCTTTATAAGGTCTCACTAGCCAGGGAGGTATTCACAGACCTGTGACCTGTGTGGTCATAGAAGCCTCACAGTCTTGGTTTAATGCTCTGCTGGCAACGTCTGGAAATTCTGAGTGCTTTATTTGCACTGTGCATGGGGGCCGCAAAGCAGCTGGTCCTCCTCTGTCCCCCAGGGGCTGGGGTGGGACAGGAAAGGGTAGCCTCTCTCCTAAGGCACTGATCTCTGACTCCTTCCCTTGCTTTCTTCTCAGAGAGGGCCCAGACCACCAGCCCCAGGGTCCTCCCTCTCAGAGAACCCCCAGATCACCCACTCTCAGCTTTCACCCTCATTTTGCTGCCAGGGGTGTGCAGGGTTCCCTGGAAAGATGGGCTGAGTGACGAACAGTGACGACCTATTGCATGAAAAGCTCAGTCCCATAGATATGATCACATTTCCAAGGAGGATGCATTTCCCCTCATTCTCTGACATCTGTTTGGAACTGCTCTTGTAACACTGGGCTCTGTTCTATTCTGAGTCACAGTTACTGGTTCAGTGTGTTACTCACTTCCCTGGGGGTGAGCAACAGAAGGACAGGACCACAGCTTCTTAATTTCTATACCACTTGCTAATCTCAATAATGCTCTTGATAAGAGTAACCACAATGGCAAATATTTATTTACTATGTGCCCTGCTCCAGACACTACTTTGAGCATTTTGCAAGCTATTTAAATCTCTAAATAACTCTACAGACAGAGTATATTGTACTCCCATTCTTCAGATGAACAAAGGAAGGCAAAGAGGTTAAATAAGTAGGGATTTAATAAACAGTTATATTTCACCTTTACCATCCTGAGTTACCCTAACATCAAAGAGCATGTAGTGTCAAATGTAGTAAAATCACTTAATTTTAAAGACTGAAGATCCTTAGCCATGAGCAAGCTGAAGCCACCAGAGATTTAGTGGCTTACACAACGTGACACAGGAAAATAATTAGTTCAACCAATATTATGGAGTAATAACATTTATTATAGTCCCTGCTTCCTAATCCACAGTCCTCTCCACGTTGCCACTCAGCCCTACGTAAGTGATAAAGGAAGAGCTGTCCCCAGAATCCCTCCAGTGCCAGTTATTCTGTTATTGTTGCTTATCTCCAAACCTACCCTTGTGTTTGCCTCTGTGATGCTGGGGCTGATCGCCTAAATCAGCCTCTGCTTTGCCTGCGAGTCCTAGTTAGGCTCTACCAATAGGGGGCGCTAGACAGAAAGCCTGCTATAGTGGAGGAGGGCGGTGGGACTTGCCCCTTCCTATTGGCCTCCTGTTCCTGTCAGTCTTATTTGCTCCTGTAACAGGGGTTGCATCCAGTTTGCTGTTTTGCCAACATACAGGACCAGTGTCCTCACACCAGCTCAGAAAGGCCAGCACACAAATGACCCGCCGTCCCCGCAGAGGCTGGGTCTCAGCCCCACAGCTGTCCTCTGAACTTGGCCCCCAGCATCAGCTGAGCATTGCCCCACCTCAGAGGTCCAAGGCCCCCCTCATCTAAGTTTCTAACTTTTAATGATTCCAACCTCTTCCATTTGCTGCCCCCCGCCCGCGCCGATCCCGAGGGTAGTAGTAGCCTCTAAAGGTGGATATGCATTGTATATTTTGTCTGCTTAGTTCCTCAGCACTTACTTCTTTATATTAAATCCTTTCAGTTAAAATGACCGGTTTGGTGCAGTCAACAAAGAAGGCACCCCCTCCGTGTTCTGTCCGGCCTAGGTGCGCCTAACAAGCAGAGCGATGGAATCAGAGCCTGCAGCAGGACGCCTGCCGAGAGAGAATGCCCGGGCCCGCGTCCACCACCAGAGCTCCTTGGTCTCTGCTCACTGAAAGTGAAGGGCCCGTCGGGTCTGCCCACAAGCCTTTCGAAGAGGCTGTCTTGGCTAACGAGCAAATCCAGGCAGGAGTGGAGTACAGACCGATGGGTAGAGCAGCCTCAAGTCTCTCCGTGCTAGAATTTATCTTCAAGCTCTTACGGATATCATTTGAGCTTGAACGCAGAAGAAATGCAATTTATGAAAAATATACTTGTGTTTACAGCCCCCTTCCTGTTTGCTGCAGGACCACACGGATCACAGTGCCAGGCAAGGGTCCCAGTGGAGGCCACGAGAGGCCCACCAGGTCCTGCCTGCCTGAATCTGAGCACCCGCCTTAGTCCCAGAACTGGTTGTTTCCGCGGATGTTGGCTTCACTTGGGGAGATGAAACCCAGAAGGGAGCCAGCTAGTGAAAGTTCACACCAGGCACTCTGTCTCCATGAGCACCTGGGCCAGAGGCACTTGGCTTCCATGGATGAAGATGAACTTGAAAGAGAGCGAGAGAGAGAGAGAGAAAGGAGAGAGAGGGAGAGAAGAGAGAGCACACAAAGAGTGAGAGGGTGAGGATTCACACAGGAAGCTCTGATGTTTGCAGGAACTTCCAAGCTCATGTTCTGAATTTACTCGTTCATATGAAAACAGTTAGCTCCCACAGACCAGATTAAGTTTTGGCGTCGGAAGCCAAGCTGGAGGCCTGACTTGGCTCCCCGTCACTCTTTCTCCACTTCAGAGGTTTGCCAGGTCTCTGGGATCTGATAAGCTGGATCAGCAGAAATCCAAGGAGACAGGAGGCGAGGCTCAGCCTTTGCCCTTCGCGGGACATCCTCCCTCTGATCCCCAGCCTCTCCCCATGAACAGCTCACTGAACTGTATCCAAGGACAGGGGTGTAACTTCATCTGTTAGGGCTGGAAGGAACTGAAGACATTGTAGGCTGAAGCAGAGGGCCTGGGTGATCCATTTGTTTACCTTACTCAACAAGCGACTTTTGAGTGGGTAGTCAGCACACGTCTGAGAGAGAGAGAAGCAAGGAGGGAAGGGAGAGAGCAAAGAGCAGCGAAGAATAGAATCCACATCTCCTTTTGGGCATGAGAGAATGAATTACAAAAAGAGTCTTACCTGCCCCAGCTCATGCTATCAATTGGTAGCAGATACAGACCAGAACTTGGGTCTCCCGACTTCTAGAATGGGGGTGGGGGGTCTTTCCATTACATCACTATGACAGTGTCACTGAATTGGAATCATATCATCCCTAATGGTGTCACTTATTCTTCAGGAAAAGAGAATAAAGGATGTTTGGGGGGTGGAGTGGGGCATGCACTAATTAATAACTTCAAAGAGATGTCGCTTGGCTGGGCCTGCAATTGAACATTGGCTTGGCCCTGAACCCAAAGTGTCTTCATATGAATAGGTTGTCTTTGCCCAGCCCGTTGGCACTGGTACGCATGGCTCCTTCCCAGGCTGTAGCTCAGACCGAGCCCATGGGAACACCAGTGCACACCCAGCTAAGTGATTTCAGCTCAAGTAGGTGTGTGCAGTGATTGGAGGGAAGTCTGCAAATCTAGCCCAGGGTGTCAGCTGGAAAAGACAGGTAGATATCCAGCTGATACATGATAGAATCTGATGCTTCTCAGTGTGAGGCAGAAAGCAACTGGGTATCATAAAGACACAACTAGATGACAAAACGGTCCATCAATGAGTATTTCTTATAGGGCTACCCTATGCCCATCATCGTGCTCAGAGAAGCCATATCCTTGCAGAGTGTATTGTCTGACTGAGACAATAAGACGTAAACACCTGTACAAATAGAGAACAGTCTAATTTTACGACCCCATTGTATTCTCCAGGCTGATGAGGGTCAGGACAGGATACAGAAGTGTTAGTTTAGGGAACTTTTGGGGGACTCAACTGCGATCTTAAATGAGATTAGAAGAGCAGCCCCGTCCCATGTTGTCCCAGAGAACCAAGGATAGACAGCAGGGAGACCGTTTGAAGGCCATCCAAGATGGTAGGGATGGCTGGTGAGGGCTCATTGTCATCGTGTGTGGTCTCAGCAGCACGGGATCCTGTCACAGATGCACAGAAAGTGGCCCAGTTTGGGATAGGATATTTTTGGGGATGACCTCGGAATTCCCTTCTCTCTGACTCACCGATCCTGAAATCCACCTAAGAAAGGGTTACATTGCCCGTAGAAGATGGTCACAAAGTAAAACAGTAAAAAAAAATGATGTTACTCCTTGCAGCGTTATCTCACAAGGAAGATGACGCCTGCCTGCCCTAGGGGGTCACTGGAGGGCAGGAGAAGGCGGGTCTCAGGACAAAGGAAACCTGATAGGAGAGCACATTTAATAGAGCTGTGAGGACGTGGCCAGTGAAAGCCTATGAGGAAGAGGCAAAAAAGAGGCCTCTGGAGTGACAGGACTATATATACCTATATGTGACACAACAGTAGCAACCATCATATATTGAGTCCTTGCAAGAAGCCATGCACTTCATGCATGTTATTCTCCCAGCAGCCCCAGACATAAGCAGTCTATGCCTATTTACAGGTGCAAACTGAACCTCGGGGAGGTTATCCGACAGGCACACAGTGGAGGCTGGCTTTGGGTTTCTATTCATGTGACTTCAGAGCTCAGACTCTCCACCAGCAGGTGGCACTGTCCTTGACCCGACCACACAGGTGACCCAAGTCTAAGATGGAGTTAAATCTGGTGAGCACTTGTGGGTGGACCTCTCTTACCTTGACCACATGGAGCTTGGGCAGCAGGTTGCAGTCGGCCAAGGTCAGCTCGTCCCCATCCAGGAATTTGCGCCGGGACCCCCTGTCATTGTCCCCGTGAGTGCTGGCGTCGATCTCCTCTGGCAGAGGGGTGCTCAGGTAGTCATCCAGTTTCTTTAGTGCCTTGGTCAGGCCTCTCTCAAGGGCTGGCATGGAACAGCAAACAGTGTCTTTAGTCAACCTTGCCACTGGATACGGCCACAGTCTTCAGAGTAAAGTAGCGTATCCCCAATCCTGTCCCCCTCACCACAATACCAGTCCCCACACACTACAGAATACCTGGCAGCCACTAGCACGATGCAGAAGAGTATCCAACAGCCTAAAACGCGAGCCTTTGCCAGACACCTAGCTAAGCCTTTTAAAAATATAGACCGACTGATAGATTGCTAGCGATGCAACCATTAGCATACATATCAGAGCTTAGTGCTTACCTTTAGAAGATACAATAACACAGTCAACCTTCATTTGTCTTTTTTTATGTATATGTTTCCAATATTCCACAGTTACCACATCATTTTATATAAAGAAAGGCTTGTTAAATAAGTAAAAATAGCAACTGTGTAAGCGTCCTAGGCCAGAGATATGCACCAGATTTTGTGGGAGCATCAACTATGGCTAACCCAACCTGAGAAGGGAGATAAGACACAGGACAGTGAGGGGCCCTGTTTGGTGCTACCCTCAGAGAACCATGGGTGGCGGGGAGGCATGCTTAGAAGGTTGTTGTAAAAAGCAGAGTGTTCCAAAACAGGACCAGCGCGCCGGGCAGCGGCTCCCCTGGAAATGCGCAGTCGCAGCTGCGTGGACACCTGTCAGGCCTGCAGCCCCGAGAGCGAGCATGCATAGGAAGATAATGTGGCAGAAGACTTGGACAGCTCTGCCCCAGTAACGATCTCTCCGATCATTCATTCAGTCACAAGAATACAACAGAATACTCAGGAGAATAACTCCGGGAGCTCACTGTCCCTGAGTCATCCCACCCAGGATCCCAGGGACCGCCGGTCACGGAGCACTGGCCCAGCCCGTCCACCTGAGCTCAGCGCGCAGAGCTGGAGGACATGGCTGGGAGCGCCGCTCAGCAGCCGCTGCACCTGTGCGGCAGCCCCGCGCCCAGCAGCTGTTTTTCCCAGACTCTGGTTTACAGCGCGACACCGAGATCGGAGGAATCAGTCCTGATGTTAATTCCAGCAGATAAAAAGGGGGTGCTGTCCCTGGAGAAAGAGCCCAGTAGACTGTTTCTTGGTCCGATTTCCCCCCAGTGTGCCTTCTGTGAGCCACTCCTCACATCACCTGCGTTTGTCTTTTCAGAGAAAGCCTTTGGTTTGAGGCAAAGAAATGACACCAGCCCAAGACAAATCAGTCGAGTGCTCACTGGAATGTTTAAAAACGGACTGGAGGTTGGACTTGGTTTCTCAATACTTCCTTCTCCCTGGTGCGGCATTTGAACTTGTACTTCATCATCTGCTTTGTGTTTTCAGTTTGGGAGAACAGAGGCATCAGCGCTGGGAAAATGCTCGTATTTCCCTTAGTGATTGTCTAGACGGGAACGGGATCGCAAGCCTGTTCCGGAGCCATAGCAGAGGGTGGGTACCCAACACCACTTCCTGTGCTCCCTGCCCTCTCCAAGTGCTTGTGATTTATGTTGGGTTTGTTGGCTTCCTCAGATCTTTCTACCCTTTTCGGTTTGGGAGATTATGACAAAATCTTTTTTGTAAAATATTTTTTCTTTATTGATTTTAGAGAGAGGAAGGGAGAGGGAGAGAGAGAGAAACATCGATGAGAGAGAACATTGATTGGCTGCCTCCTGCATGCCCCCCACTGGGGATCAGGCCCACAACCTGGGCATGCGCCCTGACTGGGAATCAACCCGGCGGCCTCTTGGTGCACGGGTCGACGCTCAACCACTACCGGCCGAGCATTATGAAAAAATCTTAACTCAAATGGGAAAAGAAACAAATCTGAGAGAGCGCCTGTTGAAATTTGACCAATTGATCATCGTCCACGGGAAAGAGACATCTGATGGGGAGTGAGATGTTGCAAGTTCTGATTTCAAATGCCCCTGGGAGACCTGAGCGGGCTGAGGCTCAAAGCTGTGCCCAAGTCTCTGGTCTGGGAACTATTATGACATTGGCAAAGAGGCCGGGGGCAGCCACGGAAGCTCCTTGGGAGGACTCTGGGCAGTGACAGAATAGGACTCTGGGCAGTGACAGAATAGTCTCAGAAAAGTACAGCATGGGGAATGCAGTCAATAACATTGTAATAACTATGTATGGTGTCTGATGGATACTAGATTTATTGGGAGGATTACTTGGAAAGTCATATACATGTCTAATCACTGAGATGCACACCTAAAGCTAATATAACCTTGGATGTCAACAGTGATTGAAAAAATTTAATCATTTAAAAAAATTTTTTAACTCTCTCTCTAGTGATCTCCTGAGATGGAAGGGTAAAATTTGGCAGCGGGCATGATTGCTGCCTCATGTCACAACTGTAACGTATCGTGCGACATACCAAGGTGGCCCTTTCTGAGAATGTTCTTGTGTGTCGGCTCAGGAATGTGAAGGTTCAGCTGGTGATCGTTGTAGAGAGAGGAGATGAGGGAGCAGGATGGGACCAAGTGGCCTGGCGCCAAGGCTGTATTTAAATTCTGACCCTGCCCAGGGTGAATTTAACATGAGGCTGGCAGGACGGACGCTTCGAGGCCCCATCACTGCGTGGGCCCTTTCCAAGGCCTTGAGGTTGTCTTTCAAAATTCCTTGTTAGTACTTATTGCATTGGCTCCAGATCCCACGAATCTTGGAAACATCCTTCATTTTGGCATTTACTACATGTGACCTTGGGCAAGCTCCTCAGCTCCGTCGAGCTTTGGTCTTCTCATCTCAACTACGGGACTAAACTTCTCTAACCCTCGGAGAGCCATGGGGAGGATCCACTCAGACTATGCAGGGAAAGTGCCTCATCTACCGCCTGGCCCATAGGAGGGCATCAGTGAATGTCAACTACTGCTATCAATATGACAGTCACCCTGCTCTCGGTCCCTCGCCCCATACCCTTGGACGTACGTTCCTGAGAAATCCAAGGTATGGCAGAGAATGAGAGATTCTAAAAGCTCGCGTTATGAGGCCCGAGCCCCAGAGGAGGAAATGACCAGCCCCCGAGCGGGTGCTCTGCTTCTCTTGCCGACTCAGTGATCAGCCACCGCCCTGAGCGTGCTGCTGCCTCGGGACCCTTCTCAGTGACGAGCTGTGCTGAGGCGCAGCCGGCAGAAAGCAGACACCGCCGGCCTGTGTGCTAACACGCTGCCTATTATCGAATAACAAACGCCAGTGCCAATACCTTCTCTGCCAGTTCTTTTCCATCCCACCTGCCAACCCCCTCCTCTGACCCTGGCCCAATCCGCCATCCATAGAACTCAATTATCTCTTTCGGCTGACGGCATGTAGGTCATGGGACCGCTGGGGCTGAACTTTCTACTCTGGCGAGAGTGAGGGGGATAGAAAAGAAACCGGAGTAACAAGGAGATGTTAATTCCTTCAGTGCCTGTATTTAAAACCCTCTCTCCCGAAAACTTCTTCCGAGTAGCAGGATGGGTTACCCTCAGACCGCAGCAAACAAGCCTGAAACCAGGGGACCCCAAGACTCAGGACCACTAATGTCCCAGGCACTTGATGGATACCCAGTCCTCTAACTGCTTTCTTCCCCTCCCCACCCCTTCCCATAAAGATTTATTTTGTACCACACACAAACGCACTGGGTAAAATATGTAATGAGGAAACAAGGGGGAATAGTTCATAAATATTCTCAGCCATATGCAAACAATCTCAAATTTATTTTTCTCTTTTTTAAGGAGAAAAAAAAATCCACCCATTCCATGATCACTTCCAGATTCATTGAGGTTGATATTACATAAGACCCAATATTGTTTTCTCGTCATAGAGAAATAATGACTTGGAAACGGCAATTTGAGCTAAGAAAATAATATACTCTTACCAGGGCATGGAGGCTGAATGGGGACCCGGGAGCCAAGACTCTAGCTTAGCCTCCAACAAGCTCTTGCAAGCACAGCTCAGCCCTGGTTCGCTGGCATGCTCTGCACCAGGGTGCTGACCGGCCCGCAGCCATGCAGACCCCTCGGGCTCAAATTCACTGGGAGCAGAGCAGATGCCGAGGTGGTCTTCGAAAGGACGGGCGCAGCTCTGTGGGCCCCAGTTGTACACAGTCTCTCTGGCATGCAAACTTGCAGAGGGATTAAGAACCAAGGGTCCGCCCTGGCCGGTTTGGCTCAGCGGTTAGAGCGTCGGCCTGCGGTCCTGAGAGACCCGGGTTTGGTTCCCGCTAAGGGCATGTACCTCGGTTGCAGTTTGTCCCCGGCCCTGGTCGGTTGTGCGGGTGGCAGCCACTCGATGTGTTCCTTTCACATCGATGTTTCTCTCTCTCTCTCTGTTTCTCTCTCTCCCTCCCACTCTACCTGAACAAAAAATGGAAAAATTTCCTCGGGTGAGGATAAAAAAAAAAAACAAACCAAGGGTCCACCTCTGACTGACATCTGCAGCCTGGATGGGGGTCTGTTGGAGTCTCTGTGGAAGAGATCATGGCTACAAGGGGCTGGTCCCAGGCCTAGCACCTTCTTCTTTTTTTTTTTTTAAATATGTTTTTATTGATTTTTTAGAGATAGAGAAAGGGAGAGAGAGAGAAACATCAAAGAGAGAAACATCATCATGGAGTGGCTGCCTCCTGCACGCCCCCTTCTGGGGATCAAGCCCAAAATCTGGGCATGTTCCCTGACTGGGACTCAAACCAGTGACCTCTTGGTCCGTGGGTCGATGCCCCACCACGGAACCACCTGGGCTGGGCCAGGCCTAGCACCTTCTGACCCCTAGGTTCCTCTCCCAGCTCTAATCCTGTTACCCAGCAACAGCAAGAAATACACCTACTGCACTTCTGAAGTGGGGGCTGTTTATGCCATCTAGCATGTAAATACACCATGAAGCTATTCAGATGGGATTTGGTATTCATCTTCATTTAACAGATAAAGAAATGGAGTCTTGGAATTACCCAAGGCATGCCAACAGTTCCAGGTTCTCCTGACGTACAGAGGAAATGTACCTGCATTTGTTTTTAACTGTGTGGTTGTCTTATGAGCCCC